GACGAGGTTTAACTTTTTTTTCGAATTCATCTCGATTTTATGCCATTTTATCGATCAATGAAGTCTTTATATTCGTAAATGTCAACTTATCGAGGTCGCTAATCTTCATTATTTCAAATCTATAAAAAATGATCATTTGGATCATTTTCCTATACTTTAGGATCGTGAGAGATTACCTTCGATTTGATCGACACGAGTTTATGATTAAGAGGACATCCCACTCCTTTTGACCTTTTTTCATTTCACTAATTATTAACCTCCGACTTTAATTTCTCTTAATATCTCATTGTTTTATATTCCCGCACATATTTTCTGTTTATATTTTTTCGTCGATATTATCTTGTACATTATCTTGCCCATCTTATCATCATTGTTCATATTTCATCCTGTCATATTGCATATATTGTCATCTAACCCTTTCCTTGCTTATTTCATTCAAAATACCTAAAACACGATAAAACTGTCAGAACCTTAAAAACCCTAAGTTGGTAGTTTGTTAAGCATTAATTTGGGTATTGAAGTTTTAGCTCTGTACATACACCCTAGTTTGGATACTTTTATCCGAATTTTTCTCTGTTGTTTAGTTTAAAACACCTCACACACACACGACTTTCTCTTGGGCTACCTGACAACGAGACCATTTATTTCTCGCAATCCCTTGTATTTTGTATGTATCCCTCTTCCGTTACCATGTAATAGCTCAGTTCTTTTTCAAGTTTGCTTGCTAATCGCTAAGAAAGATAAAAATGAATTAGGTTAGAACACGTTTTTAAAATAAAGAACAAATAAAGCTTGATCAAATGTCAAGCCATTTTCAAACTCTGTTCAAATTGAACCACCTTAGGGTTTCACATCTCCTCCACCACCTCACTAAGCCTTGCACGTATGCAACCCTTGTTAGTCGATTGTTTCACGCATCACCATCAACCTACCGTGCTCTATTCCCTGCCTTCACTTTTCAAAACTTATTTTCAAAACTTCTTTTCAAAACTTCCTTTGAAACCTCTTTTCCTAATGAACTTGAATGATTGTGGAATGGTTAGGCGTAGGCCTTCTCCTATCCCGAGTGCATGACATTACCTTTAGGGTTCACTGTCGTAAAGCGCTTACCATTCAAGATCAAAAACACTTTTAATAAGAGAATGGAGTTCTCTTTGTATTGAAATAAAGAGAGAGGATTGAGTGCAAACTTCTTCCTCTCCGAGTGTCAGGATACTCACTATAGAGTGTGTGATCTCGATACTCGTCTTTCAATATGAAGAGATGCTTGTATTCGCCACACCTTTTCACAATAATTCTTTTGAGATAAAGAATTGGGTATTACCCGCAAGGGGTTAGTATCTGAGGACCTATTTCATTCCTAAAAACAATTTCCAAAAATCAAATGTGACATCTTGCCTCGTTGGTGAAAACTCTCTTTTCAAAAGGATATGTTACGTTCGTTCTACCGCAAACAGGTAACGCCTAAGACTCCAGAAGCGAGTTGCAATACACATAACTGCTAGAATGCGTACGTTAACATCATCCACCAAAAAAGACCTTTTCTCGTAGTTGCCTGAACTATGTTTGCTTTGATTTCTCATACTAGATGAGGATACGTAGGCACAAGACGACGATGTCTTGGTGAGCAACCTTCCCCCCATCACCTGTAGTTTTCTGAACTGCATTGACTCTAACTTTCTCATATCTGTTGAGAATACGTAGGCTTAGGACCGCGAAGTCCTACCGAGTTTCTTCTTCCCTTTCATCTCTCCTATCCCTATTTCTAGCCCTTCTCTTTATCCCTTGGAACACTCTTTATAGCAATAATCTTTCTGATTTGCGAGACTTAGAACTCGTTGAGTTGGTTTGAATTCCACCGCTCAGATGAGGCCCCTTTGGGATGATTATGTCTTACGAGTAGTCGTAATGGCGTCTTTATTTCTGACCTAGGAGTCCGTGACTCTGAGGACCTTTTGTAGAACCTTATTCCGAAGGTTACTAAAACATAACTATGTGCTCATCCTTTGAAGGGATTACCATCTTACGAATCGTCGCCATGATGAAAAACTTTTGAGGGTTAGTGCATGAGACTTTGTTTAAAGTCTTTGGGATGCCCTCTTATAAACCATTAGATCACCCATCAAAGGTGAGGGATATCTCGTTGCGTTACCTTGCAGGACCTATGATCGTATGAAATTTATCATTTTTAACATCCAAGGTGAGGGAAACCTTGATTTTTGAGTTCTAATAGTCCCAAAACATACATCATTGTACATGAACGTATGAAATTTATCATTTTTAACATCCAAATCAACAATACCTCATCAATTGGCCATGATCATAGTACCCAAAACTCTAAAGCACATAAACGACCTCTCAATGATTTATACACACCAAGACATGTGTAATTCAACATCAAAATCAACATACGAAATCACAACTATCACAACACATAGTTTAAGTTTTGCATAATTCTTTCTCAAACACATCAAACATTCAAAAATGGTGAAACAAGGAAGAAAACCTAGAGGAGGATTAATGAGTCCTCACTACCCTTTCATGAAATTAACACCCTTAATTGAGTAGTTTTCCCTCCTTACCTTAGATTTTCCAGCAACGGATTCAAGCTTTGGTTATGACTTCTCCTTCCTAGACCTCTCTTTATATTTTGTTTAGATGAAGCAATTTAATGAGAGAATTTTTTTTATAGGAAATTTAAAATGACTTGACCAAAATCCATTGTTTGGATAAACAAATATGAAGAATTGTTAAAATGATGTAAATTTATGAAGTATTTTATTCAAATTAAATTTAAGTAATTTCAAATGACACAAAAAATTAAAGAATTTGAAATTACTCCTTAACTCTATACAATGCAAATGTTAAATATTATTAAATTTTCAAATTTTGCAAGATGGTCCTCATATTTTATGAAAATTTCAAATTCACCCATACAATTTTCAAAAATTACAAATGCATCCCTGATAATTTTCAATTTTACAAATTAGTCCCTTCAAATTTTTAAAAATTGCAAATCGGTCCTTATTTTTCATATTTTAAATTTGGCTCAAAAGTTTTAAAATTTATGAAAATGACCCTAGAAATTTAACCATGAATCATTTTAATTGAATCATTTAAATTGTTTAGAATTTTGAATCCTTAAAAATTCTCAATTATCTCATCCAAACACACTCTTAGGGTTTCTTGTCTTTTTGTCCTTTTTTCTAACTTTTCACTATCAGACCAAAAATCCTCCACTCCCTTCACTTTTTCTATTTAAATGACATAACATTAATTTGTTTAATTCACAATTTTCCCTTAACTTTTCCTTATTCCACCTTTTCATTCTAATTTTCTCATTAATTCAATTTTCACCCCAAAACTCCAAATTCCGTATTTTTTATTATTTAATTAAATAAAATATAATAAATTTGAATTAAATCTCATAATTATCAAATAAATCATATAAACTCACCACACTCAAAATTATATAAAGACAAGTATTAAATTTTAATTAAACAATCAATTGAAAATTTTAGGATGTTACACATATAGAGTCGAGGAATTGATGCACGACATACATATCGAGGAATTGATGCACGATATACATATCTGCTTTGTGATCGAGTTATTATTGTAATTGGTGCAATATTGTGAATGATATTCATGAGTTGGTGATTGTTTGATTTCTCCCAGAGTTATTCTTGCTATCTTTTGCACCGCTAACATATTTTAAATGTATTATCACCACTATTTGTTTGTACTCTCTTGGAATACATATAATTAAGTAGAAGAGTAGTTGGTGTTTGAGCTAGAGGATGACATTGAGACCTCTTCAGTTATTTATTGTTTTTTTTTGCGTTATTTAGTTCTCGTTGAAAGCTTTGAATCTACTATGGATTATAACTTAGGATTTAGAGTTTAAAATTTATATTAATCACAAACGAAGCACATTTACATTTAAATGGATCTAAAATTTTCTTACCAAGTATTCCACCACACCTTAACGAGAGCACTGGTAACATGTTAAATGATGTTTCTCCACCATGTAAGTTTACTACAGTGCCACTATCTGAAAATAAAAACACCAAAATGCCACTACGCCACTATTTGAAAAAAAGCGCCACTATTTGAAAAAAAAGCTAGTTGGGATTTGGCCAATGGATGGCCGACTCTATACTGCAAATTTTATATATTAATATTATTATAGTATATATTTCTTTTTAAAATAATAAAAAAATAAAAAAAATAATTCGTAGCATAGAGTCCGTCATCTATTGGCCGAATTCCAACTAATTTTTTTCCTCTTTAATAGGTCATTTTGGTGTTTTTTTAGATTGTAGCATTGAGTAAAAGAAACTCACGCCAAGGATATGTGATTAGGAAAGAGGAAAAAAAACTAACGGCTCATATCTTTCTATCAAATAATTATATCAAATAATTATATAATACAAAACCTATGATTAATTGATAAAAAAGAAAAAAAGAATCTATGATGTAACCAGAATGAAAGTTAATTATGTCCTTATTCTCTTTGTCCTAATCATATCATTTTTTCTACCTTCCCTCTGTTTTTACCCTTTTTTTTTTTGTTTTGTAATAGAGGAATGTGTACACGAGAAAATCCAACTCTCATGCTTTATCTGTCCCAATCAGTCACACTCCACATTACATAGTCTAAACCAAGTTGATTTCAACATTGATATGTTATAGTGATAGCTGCACATTGCAATCTTATTGTTTTCATTTAAATATTGTATTTGTAATTTTCTAATCAAATTCAAATGGACACACACAAACACATAGATACACTTTATAAATAACTCTTTTATTTCAAATATAACACAATGTGCAAGCAACACAAAGTTGAAATGAATACACACAGGACATAAGACAATATGCACATTTCATCAATTTGAATGCACAAAGCTCAAGCAAATTACAGGATTCTCTACTTTGTACGGTGAACCCTGTTACCCTACATTTATTACATCTCGTCAACTCTTTCCTCACAAAATTTAAAACACAGCTGCTCTAAGTCTCCTAACCAACTCCTTCCTGTTCACAAAAACAAAAAATATCAATGTCAGAAACAACATAAACCAAATGTTTTCATTCATGAAACATACAGCAACATAATGAATTGTTAATTTTTCTTCAAATTTTTACCTCATAAGTTGCCTGTCAAAGCCTGATGCAGCAAGCACACCTCTATTCTCCTCAGCCCTTCTCAAGAGGTATGGCATTACAGTCTCTACAGGCCCAAATGGCATGTACTTGCTAACCTGAAACCCTGCATTGCTCAAACCAAAAGAAAGTGCCTCTGACATTCCATATAGTTGTGCAAATTCCATCTTGTGGTTCACTTTTCCAATCCCCAATTCATGTGCTTTTGCAGCAGCCAACTTTCCTATACACAGCAACATTAATTAAATCAGAATCAGACCTCTCAATTACATCTTACAACACAGACACGTCAATTAGATGTAATCACAAGTGTTAGTCAGGCTGACACTTTTTTTAGAGTGTTCGGTGCTATAGAGATTATGTAATACCTGATTCAATGTTATGAGTCGCAAGAACAACTCCACCAGGGCCATCAGCAATCTTCTCAAGCATAAAAGAAGTACAATCATTGAAACACTTGTGTGTATCCATAATAGAGTTATGAATAGGGGAAGCAAACCCTAAATCAGCAGCCAATTCTCTTTCACTAGACATATAAGCACCTCTCACCAACTTAAACCCCATTGGGATACCCATTTTCTCAGCAGCCTTTGATGTCAACAACAACCTTTCCTTAGCATCTTTCAAATATGTTTGAATGGTTCCAAACACAGTTGGTTTTTCACCTTTGTTGTGCACAATAGCAGAGGCATAAGTAAAGTAATCAATAGCAGGTTGAACTGATGTATGCTCAGCATCAACCAACAAAGGGATATTGGCTTGCACACACTTCTCACAAAGCTCAAGGAATCTCTGATTTGCAAGCTCAAGATCAATTTCTTCTTGTTGAGTCAATGGCTCTGGTCTCTTCCTTGTATGGTACAAAGGAGATGACTCAGAGAAAATTGGTAGTGTATCTTGCATCCATGGTAACTTGAAAGAAGGATCCTTCTTCTGCCATCTCAACAAATCACTAACTCTTTCCAGCAAACTCATCGGACATATTGCAGTAATTTTCACAATCACAAAGCTCACCTATACCACAGAAAAAAAAGTATAATTTTGAAAATATTAGTACATAACATCACAATATAACAATAATATTAAACTTAAAATCAAAATAACCCTTCAACAAATCTTCCAGGTTTATAAAAATGCACCAGCAACCACAGTTTTTTTTGTGTGGCTTATTAGTGCTTGAATATTTTACCAAAACCAATTGTTTGTTCCAATTCCACTCCAACTCCAATGTTCCATCCTTTGTTTTCATGAATGAAATTCCAATTCCAATGTTGCATGCCTTGATTTCATGAATGAATGATTAACAGCACTTAGGTTTTCATTCCTATTCCAATTCGACTTCAGCAGCAGCAACAGTGCGAGCATGCTCAAAACGGTTATTCTCAATTTGATTTGAATCCATAAACGTACACGTGTCAAGCGCAGATTGCATCTCTCTTCTGTTACAATGAAGAAACCGAAAACCAAAAAAAAAAAAAAAAACAGTTACATTTGGAAACAGAGAGATGAAACGAAGAGGAGATTACCGAAGTTGGAGGAAGCGATCTGCTGACATCAACGGTGTGAAGAAAGCCTTGGAGATTGCGATCACAAGCTTCATTATCATGAGCATCTTCAACTCCATAAACAAGCATTCCCCGCAAACCAGCTTTATTCAAACCGCGAATACTCTGACCAGCGGTGGTAGCATCTTCCCCGGCGCAAAAGTGATCGAAAAACGTCGACCTAGTGGCGGCGAGAGCGAGGTTTCTTAAAGGATTATCCGTCTGCATGAGTTGAGATCTCATCAACCATGTACCGAGATCAACCATCGGTTCAATAGCGGTGGCATGGAGAACGGCAGTTGATCGGATAAGGTTCGCGGTCGAGACGTAGGTAAAGAGCTTCTCAACGTCGTGAAAGTTGAGATCCGCGACGGCGGGAGGGAGGAGAGTTGTTGTTAAGGGCGGTTTTTGGTCGAGAATACTAGGAGGAGAGAGAGTGGGGGAGGTGAGAGAAGGCTGAAACGGTTTTGTTGCGGTGTTGTAACGGAGTTTCCTTAGGATTCTTGGAGGGATAACACGGGTGGCCATAAACGGTTACGGTGTTTTGGATGGTATAAAAAAACTCTCGAGTTTGTTGTGAACGTGAATTGTGAATGAAGGGATGAATGAGATTTCTGAAAGGATGAATGGGATTTCTCACACTCTCTCTTTTATTGATATTTTTCTTGACCTAAAACGCAATATGAATCTATAATGAGATGTAAAAATGGGCAAGCTTGTTGAGTGAGAGAGATTAGGAGGTAGTATAAATAGGGGAAGAGGTTGCTAAATATAAGTGAGAGATTTGATTAAATTAGGTTAAAGAAAGAGTCAAGTGGTGAGGCATGATTTGAATGGATATGAACAAGTTTGTTTATTATAGAATTTGTTTTTGGAATTTTTCCTAAATTACAGGAGATGGGTTGTTATGGTAAGCATCAAGGGTTTAAAATATGAGATAGATGCGTACTAAAAATGCTGACGCTGAATCTAGAGGGATACACTCATCATGGGCTGGCACTTACTCAGACTACTGACACTGAAATCAAATCCTCTGCCGTCACTATTTTGTCTCATCCACGCATTTGGCGCGTTTGCAATAGTTGGAATAAGATTAGGTTAATCATAAATAGAAAGTATGTGTTTAAAATAGCAATTTAAATATTAATTATTAAATTATTATTTCTTTAATAATTAAACCACTAACTAATAATTTTACACAAAAATAATTTAAATTTTGAGTAGATTTGTCAATAAATCAAACCAATTTAAAAATAATTTGAAATTCAATTCGAGAATTAAGTCGTTCAACTATGCTCATTAATCAAATGAGTTAAAATATGAATAAAAATTAAATTCATTAATTAAATATTATTTTTATTTAAATATCTGTTGTAGTTTCGGAGTCAATATTTAACGAGTTATTGATTTATATTGAGAGTTGTGTAGTTTTTATATCGGTAGATTTTAAAATAAAGTTAAATTTCAATATGATAATTCTTACTTTATTTTAATATTTTTTTATGAAATATTAATTTAAAATATTAAATATAAATAAAAAAATAATATATTGTTTTTCCTTCTGTGAAGCAAACGAGATGAATCTAACGAATTGAATTGAGTTATTCGTTAACTTATAACGAATCGAATTTAAATTTAAAAAAAATTGTATCAAACTTAAATCAAAATTTAAACTAAATTAAATCTTAATAAATTCAGCCGAATTGAAATGAATTTAAACTCATTTTTAATCCTAATTTTTAAACAACCACTCCACTCAATTTTTTTTAAAACTTTTATCTAACATTACACTTAACTTCTATCTACTTTTAGTATATTTAATTAGATAATATAACCTCGTAGCAACTAATAGTCATTTCTTTTTGGAAATTATCTTTTTTGAAATTATCTATATTAGTTTATTTTTATTAAAAAATTTCCTGCTATATATTCTAATTATTAAATTATTATTTCTTTAATAATTAACCACTAACTAATGATTTTTACACATAAAACTAATTTAATATTTTAAGTGCCATTTCTTTTTTTAATTTTTATTTAATATTACACTTTACTTTTATCTACTTTTAGTATATTTAATTAGGTAATATTTTACGTAACAACTACTAGCCATTTCTTTTTGGAAATTATCTATATTTATTTTTTTTATAATAATTTATCCCACTATCTCTTCTAATTGTTAAATTTTTTTTTAATAATCTAATATCTTAAGTACCATTTCTTTTTTAATTATTATTTAACATTACACTTTATTTTTATCTTATTTTAGTATATTTAATTAGGTAATATTTTAAGTAACAACTACTATCCATTTCTTTTTTAAAATTATCTATATTTATTTATTTATTAATTATAATTTATCCTACTATCTCTTTTAATTATTAAATTATTATTTCTTTAATAATTAAACCACTCAATAATAAGTTTACTCATAAAAATATTTTAATATTTTAAGTAACCACTGCTAGCCATTTCTTTTTTAATTTTTATTTAATATTATACTTTATTTTTATCTAATTTTAATATATTTAATTTAGGTAATATAACCTCGCAAGTAAACACTTCTAGCCTTTTTTATTTATTTAAAGGGTCATGCTAATCAGTGCCTCAGGGCACTAGTTAAGAATTCCAAATAAGGAAAATATGTTATATTTAGTTCACTCAATACACACAATATTCTTTTAAAAAGTCTGATTATTTCTCTTTTCAGGGCATTGAATACACATATATTTAGAAAAAAATGTATTTTCAATCTCTTAAATAATGTCCAACTTACCATTTTAATCTCTTAACCAATGTACTGAGGGCACTCGTTAGCATTTCCCTTATTTAAATTACATTTTATTTTAATATATTTTTATTAAACTTAATTAGGTAACATAACCTCTAGCCACACTTTTTTTTTATTTAATAATATTTTATATTTAATCATGTAATTAATTTATATGTACAATAAAAATATATATATATATATATATATATATATATATATATATATATATATATATATATATATATATATATATATATATATATATATATATATATATATATATATATATATATATATATATATATATATATATATATATTTATTGTACATATAAATTAATTACATGATTAAATATATAGGTGGTAGTGTGCTACCAAATATTCAAATAATTCTTTCATAATTAAACCGCTAACTAATAATTTTATACATAAAAATAATTTAATATTTTAAGTAACCACTACTAGCCCTTTTTTCAAAAAATTTATTTAACATTACACTTTGTTTTTATCTACTTTTAGAATATTTAATTAGGTAATATAACCTCTCAATACTTTAAGTAACCATTACTAGTCATTTCTTTTATAAAATTATATGTTTTTATTTGTTTTTCTATTATAATTTTTAAGGTGAGAAAAAGTATACAAGAAAGAGGCGTTAAATTGTGTTTTCTGTTTTCTTAATGTGTGCCTGATGCTCAGAATCTAAACTGATGTTTAGATTCTTGTTATACTTAGCAACAAAATGTTAACAGAAAAAAGTAAACAATAGCAGAAGACACAAAGATTTATATTGGTTCCTCCCAAACGAGAGTAGTTCAGTCCCCTTACTTCACACAAAATTTTCACTATAACCAAATCATGATTACAATCGCTTATGCATTCTGCATAAGACTTTTACAATGCTCAAACCCTAAGTCTGAGACTTCTTGCTTAAATCACTAAGGCTCAAGACTTCCTTGCTCAAGTCCTACAGACTCAAGACTTCCTTGAAGGTGAGAAAAAATACACAAGAAGCAAAGTTGAATTATGTTTTTTGTTTTCTTAATTTATGTCTGATCAGAGCTCATAATCTAAACTGGTGTTCAGATTCTTGTTATACTTAGCAACTGAATGTTAACAGAAGAAAATAAATAATAGCAAAAGACACAAAGATTTATACTGGTTCCTCCCAAATGAGAGTAGTTTAGTCCCCTTGCTTCACAAGAGATTTCCATTATATACAAATCATGCTTACAATCGCTTATGCATTCTGCATAAGACTTTTACAATGCTTAGATCCTAAGTTTAAACTTCTTGCTTAAACCCCTAAGGCTTCAGGCTTCCTTGCTCAAGTTCTACATACTCAAGATTTTCTTGAAGGTGAGAAAAAATACACAAGAAGGGGGGTTGAATTGTATTTTCGTTTTCTTAATTTGCGTATGATCAGAGTTCATAATCTAATAGAATGTTAACATAAGCAAATAAATAATAGCAGAAGACACAAAAATTTATATTGGTTCCTCCCAACTGAGAGTAGTCTAATCCCCTTGCTTCACAAGAGATTTTCACTATAACCAAATCATGATTTCAATCACTTATGCATTATGCATAAGACTTTTACAATGCTCAGACCCTAGGTCCAAGACTTCTTGCTTAAACCCATAACATTCAAGACTTCCTTGCTTAAGTCCTACAGACCCAAGACTTCGTGCTCAAGCCACACTGGCCCAAGACTTCTGCTCAAGGTTCCATGAATAAAGACTTCCTGCTCAAGTCACACTAGCCCAAGACTTCTGCTCAAGGTTCCACAAACTGAGATTCCTACTCAAGCCACACTGGCCCAAGACTTCTGCTCAAGGTACCACAAACCGAGACTTTCCTGCTCAAACCCCTCAGATTCAAGACTTTCTTCTCAGACCCTTGATCCGAGACTTCCTGCTCATGTTCCACAAAATCAAGACTTATTTTCAAACCTCTTAGATTTAAGACTTCTTACTTACGCCCTACAGACTTAAGACTTCTACTCACGTTCCACGAACCAAAGACTTATGCTCAATCAATCCACTTGATTAAGTTTTTCAATGCTCTAGCACATAGCAAGAGACTTACATGGATCAAGCATCTTGATGAGAGACTTGGATTTTCTCAATCAATCCACTTGATTAAGATTTTCATTGCTCTAGTACATAGCATGAGACTTACATGGCTCAAGCATCTTGGTGAGAGACTTTGATCTAAATTGCTAAATAACATGTTTAGCATAATAGATAATAAGGTGTATTTGATACAAATATCATAGGTATGGGAAAATCACCATAACAAAGACCTAAAGCTTTTAAGATTTCTAATATATTCAATGTGTAAGAAATCTTAAGGTTTTTACAATTATAACCTACAACAGAAATTCTGCATAGCCATTTGTGTTTATAATTGCTGATGTTATTACTCCTTCATCAGGTTGATCCTTATTAAAGATTCAGTTTGAACCTTCAGCTACTTATATAGTATTTGCAGAAGACTATCCATTTGAGAGATAACTTGATCCAGTGTCTTTTCTTTCTCCATAGTACAAGAGACATTGAAGATAGATACATCAAAATATCTTGATCCATTGTGTATCATGTTTAACCACTGAGTCTTCAAAGAGATCTTGTACTATAGAGCATTTGAAAGTAGATATTTGTAAAGCATGTCAACTTTTCTTAAGCCTTGTGAACAAAGACTTTAACTGACAAACTGATTTGACAATGCAGCTTGCTTTCTGCAGTATGGATAGC